CTAATGCCATATCATAGTGGTCCAGCAACTGCGACAGGCATGAGCACCCTGTTCTGAAACCGTGTTGTCCGGGGTTATGCAGATGCTGTGATTCCAGGTATTTTGTGATCTTACTTCTTAGCACTCTCTCAAAATTTTTTATAATGTGTGATGTTAGTGCTATCGGTCTGTAATTTTTTGCCTCTGCCTTATTTCCTCCTTTATGAAGTGGTGCTATCTGCTGTTTTTAGTATATCAGGAATAATGTCAGTATCTAGGCTTTGTCTCCACAGAATGTGGAGGGCCTGCGATAGTGGTTTTTTTACAGTTCTTGATGAATATGGAGTTCCAAGAATCCGGGCCTGGTGCAGAGTGCATAGGCATACTGTTTATGGCTTCTTCAAAATCTAGTGGGGATAGGATGACGTCTGATATATGATTTGATGTTGGTATCATATCCATGAAAAATTCATTTGGGTTATCAATCTTTAGTGCGTTTAATGGCTCACTGAAAACAGAGTCGTACTGCTTCCTCAGTAGCTCGCTCATTTCTTTGTTGTCATCGGTGAAAGTTCCATCTCCCTTTCGCAGGGGCCCGATACTCGATGTGGTTTTTGATCTTGATTTTGCATAGGAGAAAAAGTATTTCGGATTTCTCTCTATTTCACTGATGGCCTTTTGCTCTCTTTGCCTCTCCTGGGTTTTGTATGATTCTTGTAGCTTGAGTTCAATTGTTTCTATTTCTCTACCTAACCTTCTTCGCCGTTCTTGAGATAAGGTGCGACTCTCAAGTTGTTCCGCGATTCGTTTTCTCCGCCTATATAGGGAATGACGTTCCCGTTCCAATCTGCATCTCTCTCTCTTTTTTTCTTAGGGGTATGCGGTTTGAACATATTTCTAGTGCTACTGAGCTTATTTTTTCCAGGCACTGGTTCAGGTTTGCATTTTCTAGCTGTTCTTCCCAGTTTATTTCTGTGAAGTCCTGGTTTATTTGCTCCCAGTTTATCTGTTTATTATTGAAGTTGAATTTGCTGAAATCTCCTCCACCGGGAATCTGGACTGGTTTTGAAGGTCTACTCCCCATGGTTGTCATAACTTCAATTAAGGGGGCGCCTGGTTATTATAGTGAAAGTTGTTCAATGTCAACCAATATTATTTTTCTAGTTGTATATGAAAAGTGCTTAAATTGTCCCAAGTTTCAGTACTGCAGCGTAAATAGAAAGGGAGTTTTTTTTTTATTTTTTTCTCAACGTTTTTTACACATTTTCAAGTCCACACTTCAGAACACACGTTTCAGATATAATTATTCTGTGACACTTTTCTGACACATTAGCATATAATAAAGGATTTGGGGATTTAGAATTTCCAAAACATCTTTAGTTTTCCTAATACAAATGTTCGAAGTTCCCCAAATTTTTTTTGCAAATATGGCATGTTTATTGCTATTATAAAATCAATAAATGAACTTAGAGAAAAATGAAAGCCCCCCAATGTAGAGACATGCCCTCCACATATACTGTGTAAGTTTCATGTAAATTGAATAAAAAAGGAATTAGTTTTGTAAACGTTTGTGTCAATTGAAAAAAAAAACAAAAATAATAAAGTCTAAGGTTCTAAAATCTGTGGCTGAGGTTGACATCAACCAATTTTCTCCAAAATTGGCATCCTTACAGATAGGCTTACGTACAGTCAGGTGTGTAAGTTTGATGCAAATCGCCCCCCAAAAAATAAGAAAAAAAAAATATTTAAAAAAAAAAAAAATCCTTTTTTTTTTTTTTTTTTTTAATATTTTTTTCCAATTAAACTAATTATAATATTTGTTTAATATATGCTATTGAGATAGCAAAGAGTCGTAGTTACGATTTCAGTTGACACTTTTGATTGATAATCGATTTTGACCATTTTTGCATAATTTTCACAACTACTTCAACATTTTTTTTCTCCCTTCCTATTTATGCTATGATGCTGAAACTTGGACCAGATGAAACACTTTTCATATAGAACTTGTCAAAAAAGTTTGATTGAAATCGAACGAGTTTTCATTTTTGCATTTTTGGACCCAGATGCCAACCAGACGCCCCCTTAAGTTGTGATCTGAGTAACAGGTATTTGTAATCATTATGTTCCTGATCAATTCATCATTATTAGTGAAAATGAGGTCCAGCGTGTTCTCCTTCCTAGTTGGTTCTACTGGTTTGCTGGTTTAAGGCACACCTGTCGCACATCCGTAGCAGATCATTTGCATGTGCCTGTTCATTTAGGCTACTTCCTGGTATTCTTTCTGATATTACTGTATTAGCCAGGTGCTTCCATTTCAGGTGCCGTAGGTTAAAGTCCCCAAGCAGGATGATGTTCGGAGCTGGATTAGTGAGGTTTTCCAAGTGGTGTTCTATTTTCATTAGTTGGTCTTTAATTTGCTGAGGGTTTGCCTCCGGTGACTTATATACAAGGACAATAACTACATTTAGAAACTCTATTTTGATTATCAGCACTTCCACCATATCATTTGAGGTGTTTAGCAGCTCAGTACAGATGAGTGTGTCTTTGATGTAGAGGCTGACCCCACCCTGAAGCCGGTGTTTCCTATCACATCTGAAAAGATTGTACTCTGAGATCCATATTTCACCATCATGGTAGTCCTTTGTGAGGGTTTCTGTTAGGGCTGCAAACACTGCATTTGCCTCATGAAGGAGACCATCAATAAAGTGAACTTTGTTGGATTTGCGTGTTTTTATACCCTGGATGTTGGCAAATATAAATGATGTTATCGTGTTAGTGGAAGTGCTGAATGCCTTACTTGGTGTTAATATCTGAGGCTCTGGTAAGGAGGCCACTGTGTTTGCGTCCAGGGTGTGTTGTTTTGGAAGTGATTCGTCCAGTTTTGGTAGTAGGACGGGTGTTGTGAGATGTAGCACCTGTGTGCTTGTTGATAGTTTCTATTCCAGTCTTGTGGGTATCTCCCTTCCCCTCTGTAATCCTGTAGTGGTTCCATCTGACTGTTCCTCTCTCTTATATTTACTACACTGTTTCTGCCTTCCTCTAAAAAATTTCCAGTAGTGTCATATTGATCTTCCCGTCTATAACGCTGTGTACCTCTCACGTGGAATTCCGGACACTGAAGATTGTAGCATTTATTGTCCCTAATTGAAAATTGACATAATTTAGGGTGGAAGTATCTACACCCTGTTCCAAAACAACATGTACCCCTCTCCAACATGTTACTGCATTTTCGAGGATGCAGAAACTATGCACTCTGTCTCACTGTTGCTCTCATTGTTTATATTACCTGGCTCTGCAATATTGCTGTTATTTTGTACCACAATACTCTCTTCCTCCACACTACTGCTGCGGTTCTCTAAACTATCTGTTCCTGAGTTTTTGTCGTTATCCAATGTTGTCTTTTCCCAGTCCGCATATATCAATGGTAGCTTTTCTGTGAATGATAATCTCTGTGACTCAGGAATGTTTTTCATCAGATTAGTTATGTTCTCTAACATTAATCTGTCATCTTTGCAAGCCCAGTAAATTCCTTGCCTTTTTGTGCATCTTGGAGATACTTCTGTACAGCCCAGGTGAAATTTTTTGTTACAGATGCAACACGTTACGCCTACATTACGTTTTCCCAGTACTCCCGAACACTCGCCACACCTCTCCATTGTCTGATCAAGGGAGGGCCACCACCTACCTTCCCTGACACCACCTGCCTCCTCTGACAACAACTGACACCACCTACCTCCCTTGACAACATCTAACACCACCTGCCTCCCCCTGACATCTGACACCACCTGCCTCCCCTGACACCACCTGCCTTCCCTGACACCAGCTGACTTCCCTGATACCACCTGCCTCCCCTGACACCTCCTGCCTCCCCTGACACCACCTACCTCCCCTGCCTACCCTGACACCATCTGACACCACCTGTCTCCCCTGACACCACCTGCCTTCCTTGATACTACCTGCCTCCCCTGGCACCACCTGCCTCCCCTGACACCACCTGCCTCCCCTGACACCACCTGCCCCTGACACCACCTGCCTCCCCTGACACCACCTGCCTCCCCTGACAACATCTGACACCATCTGCCTTCCCCTGACAACATTTGACACCACCTGCCTCCCCTGATCCCACCTGCCACCACCTGCCTCCCCTGACATCTGACACCAACTGCCTCCATTGACAACATCTGACATCACCTGCCTCCCCCTGACATCTGACACCACCTGCCTTCTCTGACACCACCTGACTCCCCTGACACCACTTGCCTCCCCTGACACATCCTGCCTCCCTTGACACCACCTGCCTCCCCTAACACCACCTGCCTCCCCTAACACTACCTGCCTTCCCTGACAACTTCCACCACTGTCACCACCAGGTCCTCTCTGACAACCCCCAATGAGAATAACTTCCACCACCTGCCTCGTGACACTAAATCCCCAACTACTGACACCACTTGACTCCAACCCTCACCAATGATGCAACCTGCCTCTCCTGACACCATTTTATCATCCTTCAACCATTTCTCACTGGAAATAATGGGTAAGCAAAATATGATTCTTTACAACTGTTTACACTTTGGTGAATCATAGTTGATGACAGTGGCTGTCGTAACTATGACAGCTCGATCTCAGTGATTGCTTGAACGAACAATCCTCACTTAATCGAACATTTGTATGTTCCACTGAACATTTAGTACTGAATTCAATTTGTTCGGATCATCCAGGAATTCGCTAGAGTGGGGTTCGTTAGAGTGAGGATGCACTTATCTATTTCTTCAAATTCATTTCCCATTCAACTTCCCTCTCTTAATTTTTCTCAAGTTGTTTATTTGTAATTCTTATCTATTCACCTTGGCAGTCAAGCTGGTAATTTCATCTTGCTGCTGGGAAATGATTCTTTCAAATATATAAGTTTCCTTCATAAATACTGTATTTATCAAATCCTCAAACTTTGCTAATCTGCCCATAAAACCTGCATTTGTTACGTCTTCCTCAGAAAACTTGAAACTTGTCTCGCATGTTTACAGATGACTCTCCATGGCGGTGGAAGAGTTACAGTACTGGTGAAACAACACCCGAAGGTAAGAGAATTAATAGTTGACATTCCGTGAGAAGTTAACATATTGGCACTTGAGATTGGGAATCAGGATGATAAAGTGATACTCATAAAGGAAACCTGCATTTGTTACGTCTTCCTCAGAAAACTTGAAACTTGTCTCGCATGTTTACAGATGACTCTCCATGGCGGTGGAAGAGTTACAGTACTGGTGAAACAACACCCGAAGGTAAGAGAATTAATAGTTGACATTCCGTGAGAAGTTAACATATTGGCACTTGAGATTGGGAATCAGGATGATAAAGTGATACTCATAAAGGAAACCTGCATTTGTTACGTCTTCCTCAGAAAACTTGAAACTTGTCTCGCATGTTTACAGATGACTCTCCATGGCGGTGGAAGAGTTACAGTACTGGTGAAACAACACCCGAAGGTAAGAGAATTAATAGTTGACATTCCGTGAGAAGTTAACATAATGGCACTTGAGATTGGGAATCAGGATGATAAAGTGATACTCATAAAGGCATAAAGGCCTACACTCCACCAGCAAACAACACATAGACAAAGGAGGAGCTAGATGAGAAACAGGAGGGCCTTATAATGATCATGAGAGACATTACAGTAAGAGCAGATGAGTTAAATCAATATTGTTTGTACTTCATGACTTCAACTTGAAATCATACACTGAGTGCAAGAATGAAGGACTTTTGCACTGGCGAATTCATAAACCTTATCCTGAAAACATTCATGTTCTAACACATTAAGTATGCCATGAGAAATAGGGATGGAAAAAATGGTGGTGGGATGGTACTAAATTTTCTATAAGATTCAAATGCTGATGCTAATTTCACAAAAAAGTCTTGATTCTGATACAATTATCATTTCTGATTCCAATTCTGTTCAGAAATTTAGTTGGATACTTTTTTTAAATTTATGTATTTTTGCTTGAAAAAAAAATAAAAGTTTGATATTATGAGCATGGTAAATGAATTAATAATATAATAGATTCATTTAAAAATAGAAAACAATTGGTAAATCCAGCTTAACCCTTTAACTGTGCCGCCTCCAAATATGACCCCCCTCCCCCCCAGTGTGCAGGAAATAAATTCTCTTTAAAAAATTCTTTTGTTTTTTAAAAGAGTCAAAAACCCTTCCCTGAAGATAACTGAAGAAGTATGGGTATGTAAAAAAAAAAAAATCAAAATTGTACTTACTTTGGCTGCTATGGGGTCCGTAAGTTGGCGCGTGACGTCATCATTCCCCGTTCGCCCGTGACGTACGCTCCCGGGGCCAGTAGGGCACCCGGGGCGGGGTGTGTGAGTTGCCGCAAATATATTTTTGTTCATTTTTTGCGCACAGTTCCAAATACATTTTATTTGTTTTAACGTGCTAATCCTATATATAATGAACACGTACACTATATTATGGCAGTAAAACATCTGTACTGTCCGAGGACACTGTGTTACGTGCATGACACTTGTGAACACATATGTTGCACATATTTACCATGTATCATGCTAATTTATGTATACATACAATATATTTACAGACTATACACTGTCACACACTATATACATTCACCATCAACACATTCAGAACACCACGAGTGTGAGCCGCCACACCCAACCAGCCCTCCCTCACTCCTCCAACATTGTTCCTCCAACATTGTACTCGCCAACATTGCTCCTCCCATCATACAATTATTCACAACAATGTTTCATGTTCATTTATGTATATTTACAACATATGTACACACTATACACTGTCACACACTATATACATTTACCATCAACACATTCAGAACATCGCGAGTGTGAGCAGCCACACCCACACAGGCACTCCCTCACTCCAACATCTTACTCGCCAACATTGCTCCTCCCACCATACTGTTATTGTTTTTATTACACTATTTACAAATGTTATATATACCTATCTACATGTTTTATTTACCAGAACTATGAAAGTAAGCTGGTATTGTGTGCAAACAGTACAGTGGCCACCATACACTGCATGAGAAATCACACAGAAAACTACAGACGACACTACAATTACGATGTCACCTCCCTCACCAAAATAGCTCTACTCAACATACTCCTGTTGCTGTTATTACTCTATACACACACACACACTGTATATACCCATGAACATGTGTGTTCCCCATAGCGAAACACGAAGCTAGTATGGTGAACAAAACAAGAGTGATTGCCACACACACAGTGAGGCTACCTCAATTCTCTCCCTTCCTCCCTCCCTCACCAAAATTCCTCCTTCCACAATACTATGCACAATGCTAATTATAACCACAATCCTGCTATTATCACAATCCTGGTCACTAATTCCTGTAAATGAATAATTGACCACAAGTTTATTTTGAAAAAGGAACCTAAGAAGTAATTTGAAGATTCCTACATGGACGAAATAATGCTGTGGTGCTGTGGCTAGCGCTGTGAACAGCGTGAACAGCATTGAATCACTGATATTTGAACATTGTACCCAGTCATTATCACAGTCAGGCTCTTCTATAATACTATTATGGCTAAATAATACAGGTTATATGTATATTTTTACATTATTAGGCGATGCTGTGGTCACACACTGAACAGCAGTGCTGTGCGCTCATGCTGCGAGGGCCAGCCTTGGTTGCTCACTCACTACTGAGGCTCTGACACCCCGGAATGTGGAGCATGATTTTTTTTTAAAGATAGCGTCTGTTTACAAGAGCCCTGAGGAAGCCGATGTGAACCCCATGTAGCCGCGGGAGTTTTGAATGGAACGTGAAAAATACAAATACCTGGAGGTGCATAGCGCACCCCAGACATGGGCCTGCAGGCGCGTTGCGCAGTTAAAGGGTTAACCACTGCTCTGCATTAAAATATGACATTCCTATGGTGTGCCAAAAATAGATTCTTTCCAAAAAAATTATTTTCTCTTCTTATATTATTAAAATGCAGCTTCTGATCACGGAAAACAAAACAAAAATATTGTATGTGACATACTTTAGCCGTGATGGAGCTGGGAAGTTGAGCAAATTATGGGAGCTAAGTGATGTAGTGCTCGGGGTCACTTAGCCCCGCCACTTTGTGGGCGGCAGTTGCTGCGAATATAATGTTTCACATTTATTTTCATGTTTCTCATTTGTTTCCTCTTTATTTTTTCCTATAATATTATTCAAACATGTGTAGTTTGTGGAATTTATATTGTTCAATGTGTGGAACATCGCTATGGTCAAAATTATGGGGTTCATATATGTGATTATATATATATGTATATGTATATATATATATATATATTAGTATATTTTGGTAGCAGTCTTTCCTGTAGACATATTTTATTAAATATGACCGAAAAAGTAAGATTAATAATTCTAACACGAATTTTCTCAATCTTTCGTACATTATGCTTCACTGTTGGAGGTAAATCAAAAATCACTTCTCCAAAATTCATTTTTATTTCTAGTCTGACGCGACACGGGCGCGTTTCGTAAAACTTATTACATTTTCAAAGACTTCACAAATACACAACTGATTAGAACTTGCGTTTCCCTGATTTTATATCTACATTTGAGTGAGGTGGGAAGGGTGATGTGGCATTACATTTGAGTAAGGTGGGAAGGATGATGTGGCATTAGAGGATATTAATAGGGTATTAAAAGTATCAACACAAGACAGAACACGAAACAATGGATATTGAATAGAAGTGTTTGTAGAAAGCCTATTGGTCCATATTTCTTGATGCTTCTATATTGGAGCGGAGTCTTGAGGTGGGTAGAATATAGTTGTGCAATATTTGGCTGTTGATTGCTGGTGTTGACTTCTTGATGTGCAGTGCCTCGCAAACGTCGAGCCGCCTGCTATCGCTGTATCTATCGATGATTTCTGTGTTGTTTACTAGGATTTCCCTGGCGATGGTTTGGTTATGGGAAGAGATTATATGTTCCTTAATGGAGCCCTGTTGTTTATGCATCGTTAAACGCCTAGAAAGAGATGTTGTTGTCTTGCCTATATACTGGGTTTTTTGGAGCTTACAGTCCCCAAGTGGGCATTTGAAGGCATAGACGACGTTAGTCTCTTTTAAAGCGTTCTGTTTCGTGTCTGGAGAGTTTCTCATGAGTAGGCTGGCCGTTTTTCTGGTTTTATAGTAAATCGTCAGTTGTATCCTCTGATTTTTGTCTGTAGGGATAACGTTTCTATTAACAATATCTTTCAGGACCCTTTCCTCTGTTTTATGTTGATATGAACAAACATAGGAATGTGCCTAAATGCCAACAGCGACTGCCCTGACAGGTACAAGAGGAGTGTTGTTAACGCATACGTCGACCGTGCTCTCAGCCACAGCTCAGAATGGAAGCAAGTCGACGAAGAACTCTGTAGGGTAAGGCAGGTTCTAGTCAATAACGGCTTCTCGAATGGTTTCATCGAAGACATCATAAGAAGGAAAGTGAAAAGCCATGCAACCTCCGAAGAGACAACTAACACAACACCTATACCCCCTATTAGACTATTTTACAGGAACTTCTTTTCCACAGCTCATAAAACAGAGGAAAGGGTCCTGAAAGATATTGTTAATAGAAACGTTATCCCTACAGACAAAAATCAGAGGATACAACTGACGATTTACTATAAAACCAGAAAAACGGCCAGCCTACTCATGAGAAACTCTCCAGACACGAAACAGAACGCTTTAAAAGAGACTAACGTCGTCTATGCCTTCAAATGCCCACTTGGGGACTGTAAGCTCCAAAAAACCCAGTATATAGGCAAGACAACAACATCTCTTTCTAGGCGTTTAACGATGCATAAACAACAGGGCTCCATTAAGGAACATATAATCTCTTCCCATAACCAAACCATCGCCAGGGAAATCCTAGTAAACAACACAGAAATCATCGATAGATACAGCGATAGCAGGCGGCTCGACGTTTGCGAGGCACTGCACATCAAGAAGTCAACACCAGCAATCAACAGCCAAATATTGCACAACTATATTCTACCCACCTCAAGACTCCGCTCCAATATAGAAGCATCAAGAAATATGGACCAAAAGGCTTTCTACAAACACTTCTATTCAATATCCATTGTTTCGTGTAGTCTTGTGTTGATACTTTTAATACCCTATTAATATCCTCTAATGCCACATCATCCTTCCCACCTTACTCAAATGTAATGCCACATCACCCTTCCCACCTCACTCAAATGTAGATATAAAATCAGGGAAACGCAAGTTCTAATCAGTTGTGTATTTGTGAAGTCTTTGAAAATGTAATAAGTTTTACGAAACGCGCCCGTGTCGCGTCAGACTAGAAATAAAAATGAATTTTGGAGAAGTGATTTTTGATTTACCTCCAACAGTGAAGCATAATGTACGAAAGATTGAGAAATTCGTGTTAGAATTATTAATCTTACTTTTTCGGTCATATTTAATAAAATATATATA